AGACGAGCGGCTTTCCATTATCTGCAAGCTAAGCTGTCGCGCTGTTAGTCTATTCCACATGCTCAATTCTTGCCAGTAGTGTGAGATTGGGCGTGGTCATCGCCCTATCATTGGCACTGAAATGTACTTTTTTCATGTCATATAATAGCAATTTAATTTGTAGTGTTCCACTTGGCACAATTTGCCTTTGGTTGTGTGCTCACCCAGGGAAAGTTGAGGTGAGGCCATGTGTGGTGAAGTGAGGCGAGGTGGCGTGATGCCGTATAAAGTGAGACGACGATGCAATTTAAACAAGTTTTAGTGAAGGAGTGTTAATGTGTGGAGTAAGCAGTAAAGCCTCTGTGATGCTCAAATCTCCGCAACCGCTGTAGAAGAAAATATGACAACGTCGCGATGTGGAATTAAGGCCATACGCTCTGAAGTGGTATTAACAGTGCCCTCTCTCGATTGTTGGGTTGCCAAAATCCACTTTTGAAGGAAGAATCATTGAAGAGAGTGGTGCCTGCAGACTGACGAATACGCGACGTTTTGTGTGGGTGGGAGAATAAGGGAAGGAGTGCAGGACAGATGAGGCATTGCTAGAGCTGATTGACTGCACTTCAGGATGCATGCTGACAAACAATGGTAAACGCTTCACAACTCCTCCTTTGCAGTGTACAGCAAGTCGACTCGGCAGGCTCTACGAAGACTGTCGGCACCACTTCTGTCAACTCAGTTCAATGAATTTACAGCTCTTCCCGAGAAGGGTTCTCCAACTCACACCTCCTCGTTCTCCTTATTCATCTTGGTTGATGTCAAAGTAGAGACTGATTCAATTCCCTCTTTTATTGCTATTTCCTGGGTAGGGTTTTCCAAGTAACACCTCCTCGTTCGCCATAATCATCTTTGTTAATGCTACTTCAATTTCAACATCCATTATTATTTCAAAGGAATTGGTGAACTTATGATGGGGCCTACACTACTTTCTTACAACTTTGAGGGAATTGTAGCTCAGTTCCCGACTGCCCACTTTATTGTCATTCGTGACAGTAATTAAATGTTGAAGAAGTTCGCCATAGTGATGTGGTGGGAACACACTGCACATGAGTTGTAAGGCATGCGTGCAGAATGCAACTGAGTAGCACGGTAGCAATTGCTGTCTGTGGCACCTGCACCTCATAGGTGGGTTGTTGGTGGAGAAGAAAGTGTGCTACAGTTATAGTCTGTGATTGGTGCTCGAGAGTTGTGAATAAAAGCTCCCATCCTCCTACAATTTTCCCTGATATTCACCTATTCTCATTCACCCGTCCATCCTTCCCATCACTCATGTATCCCGTTTTGATTCATCCTATCATCCACCCAACTTTCTCTTCTCACCTCTCTCTCTCCCTCCATCCCTCCATCCATACCTCCATTCATTCACAAATATGCACTGTTTGCATTTGCCAAATGTTGTTGTTATTACCCTTTTAAACACAAGTAGTCTATTTTTAGGGATTGAATTAAGGTGTTAAATCCCGAGGTGAGAAGGCACATGCATGTGAGAGCATATAATGTCCACACAATTCTTGGTGATCGGCGTCTGAGTTTGTGCAGTGCTTTTTCATTGCTAAACGTAGCAAAATACAGGTCAATTAGATAGCACCGGTTCATCTCTACCCTTCAAGATGGAATCGCTATTTACTTTGTGCCACGTCCAAATTCAACAAGTCGTAGTCTCTGGCAATCGTGGAAGAAATCGGGGTTTGAGTGATGAAGCGCTTGAAGCGATTGAAGGAAAGCCTCACCAATGG